TACAGAGAGTTCCCATATGCCTCCCTAACACCAGGAGAATTTCTCCTATTATTAACATCTTGAATTAGTGTGGTACATTTGTTACAAGTGATGAGTCAGTATTGATATATTATTAACTAAAGTCCATAATTCACATCAGAGTTCACTCTGTGTTGTCCATTGTATAGGTCTTGACAAAAGTCTGACATGTATCCACCATCACAGCATCATAAAGAATAATTTCACTGCCCTAAAAATCTCTTAGTCTCCACCTATTCATCCCTCCCTTCCTTCCTTGCTCCACCCTAATCCCCCGCAACCTCTGATCTTTTTACTATCTCCGTAGTTTTGCCTTTTCCAGAACGTCATGTAGTTGAAATCATATAATAGGTAGCCTTTTCAGATTGGCTTCTTTCACTTGGCAATGAGCATTTAAGGTTCTTTCATGTATTTTAGTGGTTTGATAGCTCATTTCGTTTTACTGCTGAACAAAATTCCATTGTTTTGATATACCCCAGTTTATTCGACTACTGAAGGAAATCTTAGTTGACCCCAACTTGTGGCAACATGAATAAAGTTTCTCTAAACATCTGTGTGGGTGCAGGTTCTTATATTAACATATTTTCAACTCATTTGGATACAAACAAAGGAGTATGATTGCCACATTTTATGGTAAAAGGATGTTTAGTTCTTTTGTTTTTGTAAAGATGGGATTTTGCTATGCTGCCCAAGAGGGTCTTGAACTCCTGGCTCAAGTGATCCTCCTGCCTCAGCCTCTCAAAGCACTGGAATTAAAAATGTGAGCCACCACGCCTGGCCTATGTTTAGTTTTGTAAGAAACTGCCTTTCAAAGTAGCTGTGTTCTATTTTGCATTCCCACCAGCCGTGAATGAGAGATCCTTTGGCTCCCCATCCTTGCCTGAATTTGGTGTGGTTAGTGTTTGAGATTTTTGTCTTTCTAATACATGTGTAGTGGCATCTCATTGTTTTAATTTGTAATTCCCTAGTGACATCTGATGTTGAATATCTTTTCAGATGTTTATTTACCATCTGTATATCTTCTTTGATGAGATGTCTGTTCAGATCTTTTCTTCTTTTGAATTTTGGATTGCATGTTTTCTTACTGTTGAGTTGTAAAATTTTGTAATCTTTGTCTATGTAAATGTTTTGGACACCCATCCAAATATGCAGGTATTTTGCAAAGATTTTCTCTCAGTCTATGACGTGTCTTTTCATTTTCCAAACAGAATCTTTTGCAGAGCATGTGCCTTTAATTTTAATGAAGTCTGGTTTATCAGTATTTTCTTCCATAGATTGCGTGGTGTTGTATCTAAAAAGTCACTGCCAAACCCAAGGTCATCTAGATTTTCTCCTACATTTTCTAGAAGTTATAGTGTTGCATTTTTCATGTAGACCTATGATCCATTTTTAGTTAATTTTTGTAACAGGTGTAAGGTCTGCGTATGGATTTTTTTTTCTTTTTTTTTTTGAGACAAGGTCTGGCTCTGTTCCCCAGCCTGGGGGGCAGTGGTGTACTCTCAGCACGCTGCAACCTCTGGGCTCCAGTCATCCTCCCACCTCAGCCTCCTGAATAGCTGGGACTACAGGCGCACACAACCATGCCCAGCTAATTTTTGTATTTTTTGTAGAGACGAGGTTTTGCCACATTGTCCAGGCTGCTCTCAAACTCGGGATTTCAAGCGATCTGCCCTCCTTGGCCTCCTGAAGTGCTGGGATTACAAGGGTGAGCCACCACACCCAGCATGGATTTATTTTTGTATGTGGACGTCCAGTGGTTCTAGCACCATTTGTTGAAAAGGCTGTCTTTTCTCCATTGAATTCCTCCTTTGGCAAAGATAGTAAACTTTATTTGTGTGGGTCTATTTCTCGGCTCTCTTTTCTGTTCCATTGATCTGTTTATCAGTTCTTTCACCAATACCATGCTGCTTTAATTACCGTAGCTTTATAGTAAGGCTTGAAGTCAGGTAGTTTCAGTTCTTCGATTTATTCTTTTCCTTCAATATTGTGTTGGCTATCCTGGCACCTTTGCCTTTCCATATAAACTTTAGAATTACCAGGCTCAGTGACTCAGGCCTATAATCCCAGCACTTTGGGAGGCTGAAGTGGGTGGATCACTTGAGGCCAGGAGTTCAAGACCAGCATGGCCAACATAGTAGAACCCATCTCTACTAAAAATACAACAAGTTAGCCAGGTGTGGTGGTCTGTGCCTGTAATTCTAGCTACTCAGTAGGCTGAGGCAGTAGAATCATTTGAACCCGGGAGGCAGTGGTTGTAGTGAGCCAAGATGGCACCACTGCATTCCAGCCTAAGTGTCTCTGTAAATAAGACTCTGTCTCAAAAAATAAAAAATAGAAAATAAACTTCAGAATCAGTTTTCCAATATCTATAAAATAACTTGCTGGGATTACATCAAATTGATCAAATTGCAGAAGAGACAACTTGGCAACACTGAGTCAAGATCTCTGTGATGGGTTGGGTATCTCTCCATTTATTTAGATCTTTGATTTCTTTCATCAAAGTGTTGTCATTTTCCTCATATAGATCTTTTACTTATTTTGTTAGATGTATATCTAAGTATTTCATTTTTGGGGATGCTAATGTAATGGTACTATGTTTTTAATTTTAAATTTGACTTGTTTACTGTTGGTATATATGAAAGCAATTGACTTTTGCATATTAACCTTGTGATTAATATGCAACCTTGCTATAATCATTTATTCATTTCAACTAAATAAAAATGAAAATTGCAGTGCAAGATTGCAAGCTGGCTATAATCACTTATCATTCCAGGAGGTTTTTGTTTTTAATTCTTCGTGGGATTTTCTATATAGATAAATCATATTATCTGTGAACAAAAACAGTTTTAGCTCTTCCTTCTCAATCTGTATGCCTTTCATTTCCTTTTCTTGTCTTATTGCATTAACTACGACTTCCAGTGCAATTGTGAACAGTAGTTGTGAGAAAGGACATCCTTACCTTAATACTGATCTTGGTGGGAAAACATCTAGTGTCTCATAATTAAGTATGATGTTAACTGTAGAGTTATTGTAGATGTTCTTTATTCAAATAGAAGAAGTCTATTCCCAGTTCTCTGAGAGTTTCTATTATAAATGGGTGTTGGATTTTGTCAAATGCTTCTTGTGTATTTATTGATATGATCATATGGGTTTTCATCTTTAGCCTGTTGATATAATGGATTACATTAATTGATTTTCAAATGTTGAACCAGATTTGCATATCTGGAATCAATCCTATTAGGTCACGGTATATAATTGCCCTTATGCATTATTGGATTTGATTTGCACTGTTGCACTGTTGGATTTGATTTGCATATGTGTGTGTATATATATATTTTTAATTTTTTTGAGATGGAGTCTTGCTCTGTCACCCAGGCTGGAGTGCAGTGGCACAGTCTCAGCTCACTGCAGCCTTCACCTCCTGAATTCAAGCAATTCTCCTGCCTCAGCCTCCCAAGTAGCTGGGATTACAGGTGCACACCACCACACCCAGATTTTTTTTCTTTTTTTTTGTATTTTTAGTAGAGACAGGGTTTCACCATGTTGGCCAGGCTGGTCTCGAACTCCTGACCTCAAGTGATCCACACTCCTCAGCCTCCCAAAGTTCTGGGATGACAGGCATAAGCCAGTGCACCTAGCTTGATTCACTAATATTTTGTTGATGATTTTTGCATCTATGTTCATGAGAGATATCAGTCTACAGTTTCCCATTTTTGTAGTTTTCCATTTTTGTAATGTCTTTGTCTGCTTTTGGTATTAGCATGGTAATGCTAATTTGGCATAGTAATGCTATCTTTATAAAATGAGTTCAGATCTTTTTTCTGGAAGAAGTGTTTGTTATTGCTGTTGTTTTTTGAGATGGAGTCTCATTCTGTCACCCAGGCTGGAGTACAGTGGTGTGATCTCGGCTCACTTTAACCTCCACCTCCCGCGTTCAAGTGATTCTCCTGCTTCAGCCTCCTGAGTAGCTGGAATTACAGGTGCGCATCACCACGCCTGGATAGTTGTTGTATTTTTTAGTAGAGATGGGATTTTGCCATGTTGGCCAGGCTGATCTCAAACTCCTGACCTCAGGTGATCTGCCCACCTTGGCCTCCCAAAGTGCTGGATTTATATGTGTGAGCCACTGCACCCAGCCTTGGAAGAAGTTTTAAGATAATTTGTATAAATTATTTCTTAAATGTTTGGTAAAATTCTCCAGTGAACCCATCTGGTCTAGTGCTATCCATTTTGAAATGTTATTCTTTTAAAAAATTATATATTGAAAAATTATAGTTGTGTATGTTATTATTGATTCAATTTCTTTTAGATATAGGCCTATTCAGATGACATATTTTTCCTTATGTGAGTTTTGGCAGGCTGCGTCTTTCAGAAGATTGTCCAGTTTCATGTAGGTTGTCAAATTTGTGGGCATAGAGTTATTCAGAATATTTCTTTTTCCTGTTTTCTTTCTTTTTTTTTTTTTTTGAGACAGAGTCTTGCTCTGTCACCCAGGATGGAGTGCAGTGGCCCCATCTTGGCTCACTGCAACCTCTGCCTCCCAGGTTCAAGTGATTCTCCTGCCTCAGCCTGCCATAGACATTCACATCTAATCTCAGTGTTCTTTAATAAAACACTTTACCACTTATATGTGCTAAAATATTTGTAGCAGCAATATTCACAAAAAACAAAAATCATAAACATCCGACTGTCTAACCTGTCAGTACAACAGTGAATAAAAAAGGTGTGGCATATTAATACAATGAAATACAGTGCAGTAAAAAAGTTGTGCTGTACTGTTATATGCAACCACATAAACAAATCTCACAAAGATAACATTGAATAAGTAAAAGCAGAAACAAAAGAAATAATGCTGTATGATTTTGTTTATATACAGTTCAAAAAAATCATAATAATGGTTACAAGGGGCAGTTATAAATAGTATATAGACATGAAATTGAGAGTCATTCTAGAATGTTTCTTACGTTTTTTTCTTGATTAAGATGTGTTCAGTTTTCTCTGCTGCGAGCTTCCAAAACGACAAAGAAAAGAAGGAACAATGGTCGTGCCAAAAAGGGCCGCGGCCATGTTCAGCCTATTCGCTGCACGAACTGTGCCCGATGCCTGCCCAAGGACAAGGCCATGAAGAAATTCGTCATTCGAAACATAGTGGAGGCCGCAGCAGTCAGGGATATTTCTGAAGCGAGCGTCTTTAATGCCTATGTACTTCCCAAGCTCTATGTGAAGCTACATTACTGTGTGAGTTGTGCAATTCACAGCAAAGTAGTCAGGAATCGATCTCGTGAAGCCCACAAGGACCGAACACCGCCACCCCGATTTAGACCTGCGGGTGCTGCCCCACGACCCCCACCAAAACCCATGTAAGGAGCTGAGTAAAAGATTGAAGACAACTATTCCCTGGAGAAAAATAAAATGGAAATTGTACTTGATATTGCCTATTAAGTGTATCTGCGCCAGATAGGGTGGGGATTTTGTGTGTGTTAGACCAAGTCTGAAATAACAAGTAGTATTTTCATGGGGAAGAAAGCTTATTTATGTAATCAAATTTTTTTTTGTTGGGGGGTAAGGGTGGGGAATGGAATCTTGCTCTGTTGTCCAGGCTGGAATGCAATGGTGCTATCTCAGCTCATTGCAACCTCCGCCTCCCAGGTTCAAGCGATTCTCCTGCCTCGGCTTTCCAAGTAGCTAGTATTAGAGACGTGTGCCACCACACCCAGCTAATTTTTTGTATTTTTAGTAGAGGTGGGGTTTTACTATATTGGCCAGGCTGGTCTGGAACTCCTGACCTCAGATAATTCACCCCTTAGGCCTCCCAAAGT